GGTCGGCTGCCAGGCTGAGGGCTCACGCTGGGAGCCTGGCCGACCCCCGCCGGGGCCAGGGATCTTGCGGATCTGCCGCCTGGACGTTTTCGCGGCTTTTCAGCCCAGGGAAGGTGGGGAGAGCTGGGTGTCGGGAGAGGAGGGCTTAAAGGAGTAAAGGAGCCCCCTCGGGCCGTAAGCGAAGGGCTTGGGGGACTGTCCCCGAGCCGGCTCGAAATGCCCTAAACCTCCCGCTGTCCAGTTCTTCCTTGCCCCCTTCCACCGCCCTGCTCCCGACAGGGAGGAGGAGGAAGAAGAGGCTCGAATGAAGCCGGCGGTGCCTCACGCACACATTAACCATCCCTGCACAGCAGCGGCTTTCGTTTCCTTTCGCAAGTGTGACTGCAACAGTTCTGTAAAAAGTAGCCTTAGAAACCGAGCCCGGAGCAAGGAGCGGACGCCAGCGTGCGTGGAGGGGGCGTGGAGGGAGGGCGTCCCCCCAGAACGGGTGGGATGTTGGGGAGCAGAAACAGAGCCAGGTTCCCCAGGACAGCGAGTTCACAAGGAGCGAGGAGTTCAGAGCCGTTTAATCCTTGTCTTCTCACAAGGACTAATTTACTTGCTCCACCTGAGAGAACGAACAGCTTCAGAAATGCCCTTGGCGCGTGTTTGATAAAGCGATTACGTATTTCCCCAGAAGTTCATTTAACCCGAGGTCAGCGGCATTTGAGGCATGCTGCTGCGCCTTCTCCCCCTGTGCCATCCCCTTCCTCCCACCTCGCTGTGCCTCTAGCCCTTTTGGTACCGTGTGTTTTTTCACGGCTGTGTCTTTTTGGTGCTTATTTTGAGGAGCAAAGGAGGTGCTGCTGCTGGGTAGGAGGTGCAGCTGAGGATCAGCCGTGGACAGCCAGCTATGGCATAAAGTTACGGAAAAAGTTTGAAGGGGAGGGAAGGTGGGCAAATGTCATCCGCAGTAGATGCTGAGAAACTATTTGGTGGTGTCCACATGACAGGGAAAACTGGGAAGGAGTTAGTGCCCTGTGAGGATTTAGGAAGCTAAGGGCACTTGCATCTCCCCTCCCTGCGTGCCCGGCGCTGCTCGCAGGACCGACGTGTAGCTCGTCCTCCCTCGCTGCAGCGGAACTGCTTAGGAAGATACCCGTGAGGTGTTAATACCAACTTCTCCCTGAGGTCTGGATTGAGGCTCTTGTATCTGAATTCTGTCACTGGTTTGTTTACCCAGTTTAAGGGCTTCCTGGGGTGCAGGCCAGGCAACGGGCTGACCTTTGGTGCGATCTAATGAGTAACGTGTATAGTGCTTGCAACAGACTCCCTCCCTCTGGGTAGTGCCTGCAGTAACAGCACCTGAACACGCTGCTGCTGTACGAGTCTTAAAAACCCCTCAGTGTTCTTCCCAGGAGGAGCGAAGAAGCAGCCGTTTCAGCGTGGACTCTTATCACCCCTCCTTCTCGCCACTCCTCTCGTCGTCGCAGCTATCTTCTTGCATTTCTTTGCTCCGTGAAGGCTGATGTGCCTCAGTGGTTGCTTCTGCGATTGAATTTGTAATTTGTAAATCGAGAGCATGTTTCAGTAGTCATCCCTATGCAGAGTTAAAATGTTCTGACACTGAACTCAGTATTTTGTCCTGCCTTTCTCTTGCTGTTTCAGCGGAGGAACCAAATGGAGAGCTGGCCGCAGCATTGCCCCGGGAGGCTCTACTCCTTCAGCGGGGAACCTCGCTACGTGAACGGCTTGTGTAAACAGGCAGTTCAGAACAATTCTCTGCAATTCAGTTTCCCACTTTGAAGCTTTCTTCAGTAGCACAGTCTCAAATGGTCTTTTTATTACTAAAGGAAGGAAAATCCAGAAGTTTTTTTTTTCCTTTTAACATGCAGGAGAGAGAGCCTCAATTTTCCTTTCCTTCCAGACAATAGGAATTTGCCATTTCCTGACTTCTTAGAGAGTTATGTATTGGAAAAAGCAGCCCGCACCAGGGCAGGGCAAAACCCCTGCGCAGCTCCTCTCTAGGATCTTTCTCCAATTAACGGAGCAATACCAGCACATGTTCCCAGGGTCAAAATGTAACATTTACATTTTCAGGGAGATTCTGAGACTTGCTTGTGACTTCCAGACCAGGAAAGCCAAATTTGCAAAGGCATGGCAAGGTACGAAGCACGAGGGGCGTACTTCACGGTGCAGCAGGGCTCTGGGTATTGCCCATGGTGTTGTGCTTTCCTGGAAAGGGTCTTACAGTTGAGTATTTCCTAGAGGTTATCGGCAGTGAAGATGTGGTCAGTATGGCTCAATACACCCAACATCAGAGTGCTGGAGACCATCTGTTATATTGTGTCCGTCCTAAAATTGCTTGCTCAGTGAGATGAAGCATTTACCAGCTCAGCACTAAACTGTGGTCTCTCCTGCATTCCTCTGTGGGGAGGAAGGGAGCGGAAAATCCCTCCCTAGCCCTCTGCCCCATGTGTGGGCGGCAGGGCTGGCACTGGGGGCAGTGGCAGGAGGAGGAAGGTCTGCAAAGAGGGGAAGGGATGGGGCAATGCTTTGTTTTAATGCATCCCCCTTTTGTTGCATTGATCATCGCCTCTGAGCTGTAGAAATGGAAATTACGCGCCGAAGGGTTAGGGGTGGCATAGCTGGTGTGGGGTGGCACAGCTGCAAAGCCCAGTGGGATGGGTCCTACCCTAACCAGTTTAATAGGCATCCTGGATTGTTCTGTCCTCTCATATTCCACCCTGAAGGACATCGATCTGTCGCAGTCCAGCTACTAAGCTAAAGTTGTATAAATCAGTTCCTTCGTACCGGTCTGGTCTGTGGGACTGGCCGGGGTGCCTTGGAAGCAGGTAGGATTTGATGAATGGAAGGGAAATAAAGCAACAGGCGACACTGCCATAAGAGGAGCTGTAAGGCAGAAGGTTCAAGAGGAGAGGGAGGTGATGTTGAGGAACAACTTGAGCCCTAAGAAATCCTGCTCTCTTCTTGTCTGGAGGGATGGACCTCTCCTGCCTGCAGGGTTTACTTTCCCTGAGCTTTTCGTCACTGCTTGGGCATGGGTGCAGGGCAGCGAAGCAGGCAGTGAGCAGGGCCAGGGGCAGTGCTAGTGTTGGGCTTGTCAGCCCTTGACGGCTTCTCAGGTGTTCAGTACATCAGGACGGAGCTTCTCGCCAGCGTTCGGGAGCGCAAAGAATCTCCCTACATGAGAGACATGACAGCCTCCTTGTGCAATGCATATTCGCAAGTGTGGAAGGCAGATAAAATTATCATGACAGCTATTGTTTGTACATGTAATTTCCCTGCGGTTCTGTTAAATTGGGTCTTCTTAAATAAGCACTTTGGAAAATCAAGCAGCCCCTCTTGTGCTGCGTGAAGCACATTACATTCAAGTGACTCTCAAGACACAAAAGGTGTTTTGTTTTTGTCGAAGCATCCTAGATGAAAGCAGTTCCTTGGCATGCTCCGTAACTGAGCTGGTTGGGCTTTACTCATGTGCTCTATGTGTTTGGCAAAAACCTGAGAACTGGAGGTAGCCTGTGCTCGTGTCAGACAGGACCCCTCTGCATGATGCTATATTTGGATGTGGAGAAAATAAAAATGCATCAGTGTGGTTTTTGCTAGCTGGCTTCAGGATATTCTTTTAGATTGCATCACTTCCTAACTTGTTAAACGCGTGCGGACGAGCTTCTGATGGTGGTGGTGGCAGGTACGCAGTGCGAGAAGGAGCATTGTCTTAGTGTTCCTAGCTTCTTACTGGTTTTGAGTGATTCCCAGTTGAGCTAACACAGCTGCAAGGTAGGGCTTACAGCTCCCTTGAGAAGCGGCTCTTGCAGCCTCTCTGGGTTTGCAGACATTTCCCACCGAGAGGCAGCCCCCTGCATCGTGGGTTTTAGCATATGGACAGCAGACTGTCATCAGCTTCTGTAGCCGTCCTGGGAGTAATCCCCAGCTTTAAAGCAATCTAAGAGTAAGCATGGTGCAGTCTGTACCATAGTAACATACATTATTTTCCAAACAATATTTCTGTAAGAATTGTAAGGATTCTCCACTTCCTACCCTTTTTATTTTTTCTTTGGATGAAGCAAAGCAATTCTGCCTGTGTGAATTACATGTTGCAAGAGTGTAAAATAGGCACGGGCTACTTCTTGGCTGTATTTTTCTCTCTCTCTCACCTATGTTTCCGTATTCTTTCAGTAAAGTAGTGATGACAGGAGATTTCTGGGGGTTAGTAAAATACAATATTTATCCAAGAAAGTGTGTTTCCTGCAAGTATGGGGGAAAAATGAGGCACAGGGCATTTACTAAGTGCCTACATGACATTAACTACTTGCTACAGTCAGTGGTTGCAAATTCTATGCATAGTTATTCTTTACACTTCCAGTTAAACGTATGGAGAAAACACTTCACCTTTTTCTTTTTTTTTTTCTTTTTGGTGCCAGCAAGTATGCAGTTAGGGAAATGCTTTGCACTTAGAAGGCTATACTGCCTTTCATAGCCTGTGTAGCTGCCCTTGGCACATGTCAGTTTGAAAGTGAAATTGAAAGGGAAAGGAGCAGGTAATCCTATTCTCAAGAATACCAGGTCTAAGCAGTCCCTGAGAATCTCAGTTTTGATTGTTTCAGCTGCCTGCGTCTGATGGGCAAGCCTGAGTGGGAACACTTGGTGTGTCTTTCATTGATTAGATTAGATTACAGGCAAATTTAGCAGTCCAGACAGTCTGTATCACCTTTCACAGATAAGAATCAGTACATCCTCTTTGCAGTAAATCTGGTACAAGACCTCTTCCTCAGTTAAAGTAAAGAAAGTAAGGCAGTTGTGGGCAACACGTTCCTGGATTTATTTGGACCAAGTGCAGCATTCCCCCTCAACCCACCCACCCTGGAAATCATTCTTCCTTAGGACTTAGTACCAGCTCCTTAAGGGTGCTTAGAAGATTAAATATGTCTAAGGATCTGGGATTCAATTGCACATACAGAGTCTACATGTTAAATATCATTAGGAAAAAAAAAAAGGCATTTTTTAAGTCCCAGCAGTAATTCCTTCATGGAAAGTGAAATTGAAAAATTGGTATTACTCTTTGAAGAATCTTTAAACTGTTAGAGTAAAATTGAAAGCTGAAGCCTTTTGCTATAGTTAATGAAACACTGTTTGTATCTTAATTTTGCCATGGCAGATGCCTTTTTGCTGAAGGCCGGTCCCACCCTCCCGGGAAGGCATTTTCACAGAGCTGATGGCCAGCGGCACTGGCCTCTCCCCACCCCTGCCGCCCGTGGGCGCTGGGCCAGAAACGCTTGCTGCACGGCCGTCCCGAGGGAGCTGGTGAGGAGTCACCCCAGTTCAGAGCGGAGTTTGGATTTGGGGCAACCCAATATGGGTGGCTGATCCCAACAGGTTGATGGTTTCAGGGATAGGTTGGGAAGGATCTTTTTCTTTCTTTCTTTTTTTTTTTTTTTACTTTCTTAATCTCACTGTTTTTATAACACACGATGTGGAGCCTCTCCTGGCAGTAATTTATCTGTAAATTTGACTTCATGTATAGCATCCATTTGTGTGCATTCAGAGTTCTCGTGTGTTGGAGAGTTTGCCGTATCTATTTGTAATCTGTTCCAGTGGTCACTTACTCCCAGGCTTTAAGAACATATTATTTCCATTCCATTTTTCTAATTTAGATCTCTGATCATAGGATTATTTTGTACTTTATTCTGCAAGATTATGTTGCCATGGCTACTTGTTAGAATTGGTGCAGCTACTTCAGTAGAAGGGAAATTGGAGGAAACAGTAGTTCAAGAGAGCAACAGCATACGTAAATGAACAAAATATGATGGGAACAAAGCTGTCCCAACAGTGCACGGGAGGCTCTGGCTTTCCAAGTATGAAAAAGTTCTTCAAGCATCTCAGAAAAATAGTTGGTGAGTTACTACAACGTGCAAAAAGTCTTTTAACTCTGTATCATAGAGAGTTTGGGAGTAGCCTAAGTAACACAGTTTTGCTGGTTTGACGTGGTGGGTGGAGGTGAGCAAGATTTCTCTCTCTTACCCTCTCCCAGCCCCCCCTTGGTCTCACTGCGGTGCCTGGTGTGAAGTGAGCTTCGCTTGGCTCAGTGTGTTGGTTCTGCGTGGCAGGGTTTTGGTAGCAGGGGGGCTACAGGGGTGGCTTTGGTGAGAAGGTGCCAGAAGCTTCCCCTG